AGATTAGTTTGTTACATAGCATGCATTTTTTGTGAACTTGTATTAGTATATGATATATGATTGAAAATCTTTGATGATTATCAACTAAAATTGAACACTGTCAAAACTTTGATCAAATTGATGTAACTAAGTTTAGTCTCCATATTACAAATGTTTTCTCCAAATAACCAATCTCTGAAAATATTTTTTTTTTTGTAAAAAAATAAACCACTATTGGCTTATACAACTTTGGAAATAGGTAACACATTTGCATACATTTGCTTCTACTAAAAATCTGTCCGAATTTTTTTTTAAAAAATTGATTGTATATTCCAAAAGATGATATGGAAACGTGTGACCACGTGGTGAGTGAACTTCTGCACTGCAACTGCAAGTAATCACGTCTTTGTGAGAGTCTATGTTTGGTAATGGGCCCAGCCCAACTAAAATATCAAATGACTCGGGGTTTCGTTATTAAACCGGAGTAAACCGAAATCCAGATTGCACCGAGAAGAAATAAACCGAATCGTCCAATCTGATTTCAGTCTCAATGGTGGTGATCGGTGGCTCGCCGGAGCCGTACAGTGTAATGTGATCGACTCGCCGGTACGAGACAACGAAGCGTCGTGGTTCTACGACAAGGTAATCAATCTTACCTTCTCAGTTTCTTCTGTCGTTTTTTGGTTAGATTTGATCGGAGTTGAATACAGTTCCCGGTAAACATCAATCGGAGAATCAAACAGATACAAAAAAAAGTTATGAACTTTTCTTCGCAATGTTAGATAGTTTTGATACATTTCGAAAGGTATTAGATGAGTGATTAGTGGGTAAACCTCAATTTCCTCTCGATGTTACACTGTTTAGAGATTGCATTTCCTTTTCAGTGATTAGTTTGTAAAGCTCAAATTTTTTTTGTGGTGAGGTCTGAGTTGTTTGATTAATCATGTTTTGCTCAATTGTGTTACTTCCTTAGGTTATTGGCTCTGTGTATGTTCTTTAGGTCTCTATATATATTTCATATGCGCAAAAGTTTGTTTCTTGACTTCCAATGGAGGCTATAAAATGTTTGTTAAATGGACTTTGTGTGTGTTTCAGTATATTGGCAAAATATTTCTTTTCTTAATTACTGAAATGCACACAAAACTGTTTAAAGGACATTTCTTGAACTCCTAATCTCAGAAAGCTAATAGTCGTGCTCGTTGTTGAACGTTCATGTCTTTCTTGTTTTTCGGCTCTTAGGTTAGAGAAAGTGATCATCGATTGTCCATGGTTTGAAAAGATTGACACGGTTACATATTCACTCGATAAAACGTATATAATAGTGCCTTTGAGTTACCATATATTAGGGTGGAACGAAACAAGGTACATCACATCCCAATCACTAGTTCTTCTTTACTCTTTTTTCACTCTTAAGTAAGAACTAGAACATCTTAACTGGTGTCCTCGAAACCCAGGTAGTTCTTTTTAGAAACCGACTTGATGAGCTTAACGCTGAAATCCCAGAGTTTTTGTGCCAATGTCTCATCTCTAGCAAGTTTGCTTGGAGTGACTTCATTGCAATCTGCAAAATACTTTCCTGTTACTCCTTTCAGACTTGGTTGCAGAGCAACATAACATGTTGTAGCTGCTCCCTGTCAACATAACATTGTTGTCCATTATCGTCTTAATTTCGTTTAATAGCATAGTCATAGAATTAGATCTTGAATCTGGCTAAGTCTTGGGATTATACTAGTATTAGTACCTGAGATATGTTTTTCCACAAGTAGAAGCTGAAGAACTTCAAAAACCCTGTGTAAAATAAAGGGATTGAAATAAACCATAGTGAACTTAAAAATGGAGTAACTTGAAGAAAATAGAGAAAGAAAATTTACTCATTAAAAGAGCAGTGTGTTGGAAGAGATTGGTGAGGATGAGACCGGGGTGAACAGAGTTCGCTGTTATGTTCACTCCTTCTTCCTACCAAACAAAAAATGTCCCCAAAAGATTTTGAGTTTTATATTTTTCTATGTTGTTTATGAATTTGTGATCTCGATAACATCTAACAAGTACTATAAAACACTTTGATATATGTGTTTGTGTGTGTGTGAAGGCGACCTGAAGTTGACGGGAGAGCTCATTCGCGTGCAATATATTGGCTAGTTTCGATTGTCCGTAAGCTCTTTTATCCGAGTAACTGAAAAAAACAAAGATGGTTATCCAAGTAAATTACTGCAGGTTTCACATGCGCGGTTGCACATTCCGAGATTAAACTAGAGTTTCGGGACGACGATAGGATTTTACCTGCAAATGTCATTGATGCTGTCGAATTGGATTCCGTCTTGGTAAGTATAGATATGAGCTACAGATGATAAATTCAAAATCCTTCCTTCAACACCACTGGTTTTAGCTGTGTTCTTCATTGTGTCCAAGAGCAAGTTTGTCAACAGAAAATGACCTGTATAGTAGTATACAGTTCAACTATTAAAACTTGAATTTTGTATGTTTAATTTCTGAAAACTAAGATTTTTAAAAAATATGTACCAATGTGATTTGTAGCAAACTGCAATTCGATTCCATCTTCAGAGAGTTGGTATGGACAGAACATTACTCCAGCATTGTTTCTGCAAACACCAGTTTTTGTACAATTTTTATTTCACATATAAACTAATTCATAAGTTAAACACAAAACAAAAATTGTTCCTAGAACTTATATATATACTGATCTAAGTCATAACACTACTAGTACTAACATTTTGTCAAAGAGAATAAAGAAAGAGTAAACATTAATTAGCTCTAAAAGTTTAGGTAAAAAAGCATATTAGCCATTAAACTAAAACTGACTCTGTCCTAATTCGTAGCATTAATTAAAGATGCTGAATAATTAATGTTAGATGGTCTATTTTTATAGGTGAAAAAAAAGCAGCGTTAACGTTGTCAATGCTTTTAATGTGGATACCATTCAATATGTCCTAAATTTGATAATCCAAACGCTAAAAATGGTGGTCCAAACGCTTTAAACGGTTGATT